CAGCCGTCGAGAGGCATGAAATATCTGCATGGTAAGACCCGCCAAAGTAAACTTACCGACTTTTGGAAATAAAATGTTTTTTTTTGTAAATTTCATGTTTTTTCCTGCCGCATTCTCACACCAACGAAATTCCCGCAAGAGCAAAATTTTGTGCTTTCCCCGCCGATTCCGTTATTGCGAGTTTCAACTGTACTCTCATAATCCTCGCACTTCTTTTGGCGGAAAAGCGATGCAAAGTTGAGGGGTGCGAGAATTACGTGGGGAAAACTTTCCACGAAAACGTACAGAGTGAAAAAGAAAACCGAAGTGGCCGCAAGCCGGGATTCTCACCCCCGCAACTAAGAGCAAGCTTTGAGAAGTAGTAATTAAGACTTACCGCAACAATAAAAGCACAGATTCAACACAAGGCACGATTTATTTTAGACACAAAAGGCGCAATCAAATAGTCGAGAATTAGAATACCGTGTGCAAACCTTGTGGGCGTTGTGGGCGTAGCGGTAGTGTTCGTTGCTCAACAGGAGTCTGCAAAAGGTAAGCGAAGGACGTCAGTATTAGGCTGATGGCCATTTAACAGAACCGTCCGCAGTTGCCTTCTGAATAAATAAAGTTTACCATCAATCCCAGTCGTAAGAACACGGAACGCCCAACACGTCTTGGTGGCTTTCAGCTGCCGTCACCAGTAGCGAACACAAAATTCGTCTACTCTGAAGGGCCTACCGGCTGCCCTGTTGTCATTGATCATTGCACGGTCAATCACTTTCAACTTCAATGCAGCCGTGTAGCTTTTGCATCGCCTAATAATGTAACAAGATTACAGACACAACATACAAATCACGCCGCAACGCGCACTTGTCACTTTGAATTGGATTGGATTGAATTTGAATGCAATAATAGTACACTCTATGCTTAGGAGATGGCGCCAGGCGGCGCACGCTATCATCAGTGGCTGGAATGAGCAGACGACATTATTGCGGCAATTTTCATGGGTGCGATAATTACTCGAGGAAAAAAATAAATTGTATTTTTGTCGGGCATGTCGAGGTTGTGAGAATTATGCGAGTAAGTACGGTAGATATTTTTAAAACAGCAATTTTTAGATCGGCGTTTGTCTCCTTCCAGCGGTGGTATGCATGCCCACAACTCTGGTCATTGGAGGCGATGACAATTGTACTGCCGGTGAAAGTCAAAAACTAAAATCACATGTGGTTTTTGCAGGCGTGATAAGGTTTTGTCAAATATTAAAACAAATACTTTATTAGTCGCTGAAGGCTCACAAACATCTTTTGTTGTTCTTATGAGGAGCAGTAGACGCAGTGCTCGCGTTTCTGTCCTGTTGCAGGCAGGCATGCAGGTATGCGAATTCAGCGCTACCGAGGGCCTGAGAAAAGATGCTAAAATTACTCTCTGGCGCAACCTAAAGCTGCCTCAAGTGCGTAAAATACAATTTCAAGTTGTACATGTTTGTTTGTATGCAAAATAAGTCAAGTTGCAGGGATTTCTTGTCCTACCAGTAGATTGACCACATCGTTGTTTAGATGACGCTAGTGATCATTTTTTGTCGACTTTCAGTATAAGAGTAAATTTATACAGTCGACTCCCGTTAATACGAAGTTCACGGGAACTGCAAAAAACTTCGAATTAAACGAACTTCGAATTAAGCAAAAAGCACTAAAGACGGCACTTTTATTAGTTTAAAAGCGCGACGGTTTTGAGGAAAAATAGTCTGTCATCTTGTTTTGCTTGCCGAATCTGGCTGCGGCTAGCAAGTTTTGTAAGGAATACACGTGTCGAAGTGCTTCTTCGGCGTTGTGTTCTCCAACAAAAAACCGCTGCGCAAGCGCAAGACCCGCAGCTACATCGGCAGCCCTCGGTGGTTGGTGGCTCATTTCCGATGTCGTCGTCATCGTCATTTTCAGGAATGCAGTCATGGGGCCGAACCATCTGCACGATTTCGCTGTCCGTTAGTGGACCGCATGTTTCGACGTTGCTGTCCACAGCGACATACTCGTCAAAACGGACGTCACCGAGAGCAGCGCGAAAGCTACCGTCGTCGAGCTCATTTGTTTGCACTTCCACTGGCCCACAAGGAGAAGCATCCCCCGAGTTTTCCATGAAACCACAGGCCCAGAAACAGTTGGCGATGGTTTCACGCGGGTCCAAGCTCGCGCTGGCATGTTGATGGCACTAAGCAAACTCGCCTCGTATTGCGACGAGTTGTCCATGCACAAAAGCATGCGCTCAACGAGATGCTGCCTATACAATACCTTCACATTTTTTATTATGCCCTGGTCCATGGGCTGCAACACGGACGTCGTGTTTGCAGGCAGGTACACAAGACGGATGGCACTCAAGGCAGGTAGGTTCATGTGGGCACTACATTGGTCCACAAGGAACAACACCTCACGGCTTGATTGCGCGAACTTGCGGTCGAGTTTGGTGATCCAGTCCTTAAATATATCGGATGTCATCCACGCCTTTCTGTTCGAGGCATAATCCACAGGAAGCGTCTTCACGCCTTTAAAGCACCTAGGCTTGGCAGCCTTCCCGATCACAAGCAGGCGACACCGTTCTGTGCCAGTCATGTTCGCCGCGACTAGCACTGACACTCTCTTTTTGCTTCTTTTGCCTCCAGAACAGTCGTCGTCTTTAAATGTCAGGGTCTTGTCCGGTAGCAGCCGATAAAAAAGCGCAGTCTCGGCTGCATTAAGAATGTCTGCCGGCTGGTATTCTTCGAGATACTCGCAAAGCTTGCCCGCTTTCCATGTCAGGCACGTTTCCTCATCGACTGACGCCTTCTCCCCACACACGCTTTTAAAAATCAAGTCGTGGCGATGTTTGAAACGCGTAAGCCACCCATCCGAAGCAGCGAAGTCGTTGATGCCCAACATTTCAGCATGCGATGACGCTTTTGCCGTGACGACTTCACCACTGAGAGGAAGTTTGTTGTTTCGTGCCTCTTTGATCCAAATCAGCAGTGCTTCCTCCAACTCAGGGTAGGCACCAGTGCGCATCCGCTTCCGCGATGTCTTGAATTTTTCACTTTCAAACGCATCCAATATTGAGCGCTTATTCTTTATGAAAGTGGACAGCGTGTTAGGCTTAATGCCGTACTTTCTTGCAATGTCTTGTTTGGCGGTGCCTCCCAGGTCAACTTCCTTCAAGACTTCGACATTCGTCGCTAGGTCTAGCGTTCGGTAAGGGCCACGAGTTGCCATTATCAAACGTGCGTCACCACCACAACACTCAAAATCAGAAGCGCGGAAACACGTGTGGAATCAACCCAGCGCGCGGGTGACGCGTTGACACACTCGAGTCTCGACAAAAGTCAACTAAAGAGTCAGTCGATGCCGCCGATGCGATTCGCCAGCGTTAAAATTATTGCCGCTTCAAGATCTGTGGCGCTGCGGACAGTAGTGATCGCGAAGACACCTGCGCGGTCCGGCAGATGTTTTGGCATATGAAAAGTTCCCCATTTTACTGTAAAATTACGGTCGCGACGAGACTGTCGATTGAAAAAACTTCTAAATAACCAATATTATGGGTTTTTAACTTCGAATTATCGAGCATTTTTTTTTATACGATTGCATGCAAAACTGATGGTACCACTTGCTCATTTCTAATTAACCGAAACTTCCAATTAAGCGACTTCGAATTACTGGGAGTCGACTGTAATTACTTTTTATGGGACAAAAGCATGCTCGTTGCAGCCAATGTAATGAACGATTTTCTCATTTGCGCCACAATCTGAAATTTTTTTCCAAGCGGTAGACAGTTATTTTAAATCTGCCGCTTTCATTTCCAGCTCTGGAATATGCTGCAGTCTAATCCCAAATTTTTCTCCCGATCGCTGATTGTTTGTTGTAGGGTGATCCCTCCACATCTTCCAGTAGTGAATGCCTTTCTTAGACGCTACAAACTCTCAGTGTGCTGTCAAATCTTCATGTGCCTGGTGAACTGCACTCTTTTGCTATTTTCTTGAGTGCTGTGGTCAACTGTGATCAGATTCTATTTATTTTCTCATAAGAGTGGAAACGAGGCTGCTCAGAGTCATATTGATTCAGAAGAAGACCAATGAAAGCACTAAATGGGGCTGCTGCCCCTTGTGGCATCAGGCTGGTAAATAAACGCTCAGTAATTTGATCCTCTTTATTGTGAAAAATCGGATAATTCAGACTTGTTGTCTGGTTCTGGCAAATGTATGCACTGTTTAACAGCATTAACTCAGTTAAGTTTCTCCACTACCGCCCCATTATTTTGGATGCTCTTCAGATCCCGCAATAGCCACCAATGCATGACGCCCGAATGTGGGCCAACTGTATTTGGCTGTCTAACAAGTGTTATTACAGTGCAACTTCGATTAGACGTCCCCCAGTTTCACGACGAATCGGTTTGGGCCCGGCAAAATCCTCACAGAAATAATGTATTAAAAACCTGGGTTACACAATGCAGCTTTACGACGACTTTAAGGTTCCAGTCGAAAGAAAAAAAAAACACCTTGAATGAAATATCGACCTAATATTCACGAGTGCAAAGTATGAACTTGCGTTCTAGCTCGACGATTAGAAAAGTAGTCTTCTTGGAATGGAAAGTTTTTTCTACTAGAAGTTCATGAACTTCTACATATGCCTGGATCATGTGCATATTTATGCAGGTCGTTAAGTTTAAAATAAACATTCGCTCGCTCTTCCTTCAACTAAGTAACGCGGTCATTAGCTGCCGCTGGCTAGAAGAAATTAATCTACCATTCTAGCAGAGGCACAAGGTCATGTCGTGAGCTTATTCAACCATTCTGTACCCATACTTTGGGTAAGGCTGGGTGTGACTGCCTCTCTTAGTTTTTCGATTATACGACGCCCAGATTATGCGACGGTTTTGGATGGTCCTCTGAAAGTCGTATAATCAGAGTACCATTGTAGTACTAAAACCTTTTTTCTGGCGTTTTGCCACTCTCGCAATGGCAGATGCCATGCACCACGTCTTAACTGGTGCGTTGGTGTTAGCGGGTGCAGGAGACGCCACCAGAAAGCCCACGCGGCGATGGCCGAGGTGCAGTGGTGGTGGTCACGTCGACGCACTCGGATGTGCCTCGAAGCTTTGGCGGGAGCAACTCCGCTGCACCAACGAATTCGGAGATGCGTTTCAGCTGTCGCAGCATCCGCATTGGTTCCTACAAGGCCGCACCGGGTGAACACTGGGTCACAGTCTCGAATCGAGGCATCAGTTTCACCATCCAGACACCGAGAGGTACGTCAGACAAGTTTCTTCGTTGCTCGCATTTTCTTTCTAAGGTCTGTGACTTGTAGCTTTTCTGGCATGAATACAACAACAAAAAAATGTCACCTGTATTCAGATAAAGCTTGAAAAATTTAGAGAGGCCCCATGCGGTCCACCGTAGCATGATAGATGATCACCGCCATGCATTAAAAAATGGTTGCTGTCTTTTGAGCTCCGCAATGCTCACGGAAAGCAAGGTCATTGGTCGTAGTGAGCTGCGATGCTTGCGCTCCCATTAAAGTTGCCGTTCTTTGAAGGGGCAAATGCCGCGGCGCCTTCTTTTTTTTGCCTAGTGTCCTCAGCCTTTCAGCACAGTTGCCATGGAGTGGGGCGATGCCAGTAAAGCGGCATGGGCACAAATACAGTACCCTGCTGCAGTAAATACCGCAGATGTCGTCATGCTGAAGTGGACAAAGCGCACATTAAGGCACTAGCCGTCCAGTTTGTGACATAAGTCGGGAATGTGAGGACTTGGTGCACACATAGGTGCATCTTTGAGAAGAAAATTTCATAGTGTTCCAACGTTCTATCCAACTACACAATTCAGGGGAGCTAACCTCTTCTTTTTTTTTTTTATTTACTTCTTGTTAGAGAAGCCATATGGGAGGTCTAAGAAAATTCTTCTGACATTCCCGATCTTGCATTAAATATTGCTTGTGCCAAGGTGCTGATTTCGCTGGCAAAGAGGGGATGCTAAGTGTGTCTATCAACCTGGAATTGTTGGGGAAAGTCTACATGTCTGGTAATAGTGTTGAAATTTTTTTTAAACCTAGCATGGTTGTGGGAGCTGGTGGCAGTCTGGGCAACTTTCTTGGAAACAATCTTGACCTTTTATTAAAGCTTGTGAAGCCACTTTGACTGCAGCCGCAAGAAGCGGGTAAGCAGAAGCACACACACACACACAAAGGAGGGGGGGGGGGGAACAGTGCATCACTGTTGCTTGTACTGATGACAATTCACTGTCGAAGCATTTTGTTGCTCAGGGCAATAAATTTATGCTTATTTGCCTTGGTCAGGATCTCTGCTTGGCTTGAAGGCATTCTGGTTAGGCCTGAAGCACTATAAGCAGGGGCTCACCCCGTCAAGTAACACTTTTTTTAATGGCCTTAAAAAGGCATGCATATGTCCTCAGCTCAGCACTCACTTTATGCAAGTGCTAGGCCTTTTCATCTTTTTTTTTTAAAGCGCTATACAGGGCAAGTTTTCAGTACACAGGCTGGCGGTTTTCCAAACAGGCATACCGTCATAAAGCACACTAAGAGCCACCTATACTCGACGAAAACTTTCTGTGGCAGCACAGCCAAGGCTTCAAAGCCCTTGCAGCCCTTTTTTACTATGCTTCTGCATGTAGTCCGCGAGTGCTAACTTTTTCATACTGCCTATACAATAATGGAAAATATAAAAAGTAAATATGTAAATGGTATGTTCCATATTGTTTGCATTATTATCAGAAAGGATATCACATACAGGTTTTTTGTTCTTTGCTGTTTTAGTTTTCTGGTTTTCTGGTGCCATTTCACCTTTTTCCTGCCCTGGTAAGCAGCGATGGCCTCACTCGGTTGCAGCAAGTTCACATCAAACTTTGTGAGCGAGCATGAGTGCGTGTTCATTAGGTGATCTGTATTCATCGAGCAGGGGGAAACGAAGACAGTGGTGCGTCGTGAAATATTTTGTTTATCGCATATGCAATTGCCGAGAATTTGTGCACAAGTGATATCAGGGAAAGCAGAACTCTAATCGCTATAGCCACCTCGAAAGTGACACCGGCGACTTGCCAGTCTTCAGCAACACCAGCGCTGCTTGGAAGAATAAGTGAGATTTGAAACTGTACGTAAAACAAATGACCCTTTTCCTAAATAGCGTTGCATACGTGGTTGGTGTTTCGGCTGCCTGATATTGTTGATACAATAACGTTGAAGATCACGCACCGTAACACCGCTCCCGTCGGCCTATATGGAGAGAGTGGTTCTTTGTGCTTTGCCTGGGTAACAGACGCGTTCATGTGTATTAATTACCCTGTTGACTGTGCAAAAGCAGCGTTCTTGGTTGAGTAAAGAATGCGTTTCACCCACTTAGATTTATGAGGGAAAGTCAAACGCTCGCTCGTGAACAATCGGTGCTATGATTTTTGTGCTTCATCATTCCCTCTGCGTCCACTAAAAAAAAGTAACATGAGCATCTCCAGAGAGTTCTTGCGTCTCTAAAAGAAGGAAAACAATGATGCCAACCAAGTAGGCACTGAAATTCAGGAAATGGTGTCTTGACTTTGCGTTGTTCCAATCGCCCAGTACCTGCTCGGCCAGACTTTTTTTTTTTCTGAAATAGATCTTCAAAGAAGCTTCGTGTTCTTTCTCTTTAAAAAAGAACATTTTATTTATTTCCTCCCAGATAAATGTAAGATTCATTGCGTGGTGGTTGTGCGAAAACGTACACGTTGGATGCACTTGCGGAACTCAAACCCAAATCGCACCAAAACGGATTACTTGGCGCAGTAACACCTGTGCAGAAGCTCCGCCCCCGTAGCTTTGGCTGTGCTGCCACAGAAAGTTGTTGCCGAGTATCGAAAAACTTGGAGAAGTAATTTGGTACAATTAAGTCGGTTGCTACTGTGGGAAAGGAAGAAAACTTGAGGCGTATTGCTCTTCCAACTGCTTAACTACTGTGGTGTATCGTATTTACTGACATAATCCCCGCACTTTCTTTCGTGGAAAACCAAATAAAAGTGGCTGCCGTTGGCCTGCTCTCAGCGTCGAAAACTTAGCTAAGTAAGCCACTTCACTGGTTTGTAGGTTAATAGATGGCTGGCTGACGCACGTGGAAGCATTTTTCTAGATATGGAAGGCTTCTGTTATTCCAATATTTCTGGAAAAGCACGCAAGTATTGCTGAGCTCTGGAATGCACCCACAATCTTGACAGTGCCACGCAAGGTGTGAATATGGGGCGCTCTTTCAACCTACAGTAAAATCTCTGTAGAAGGAACACCAATTTAACGAACTTTCCAGATGAACGAACTTTTAAAAAAATCCCACATTGACAGCTAGTAGTATTAATGTGAAATCATTTCACTACTACGTATTTCAGAATACCAAACTTTTCAGAATAACGAGCGCTAATATTAGTTCCACGTTATATTAACAACAACACCTCAGGCTGATGTTCTGAAATCCATCACGACCGATCACCGGAGGAATACCCAAGCAGACAACGCAGCGAACGAAGGTCTTGCTTCTCGGAAAACGCGCAACGGTGTGGAAGGGGGGGGGGGGGGGGGAACGAAAGGGCGAGTTTTTTTCTTTTTTGTTTTTACTGAAATGCGGATGCTGCAGGTTCACAAGCGCAGAGGCGAGGGGCGAAGTCAACCTGGGAGGGCAAGGTCAGCGATGCAGAGGGCAGTGGGAGTTGCGGAGCAAGAAGCATAGGCACGGAAAACCTGAGACAGCGAGGGAGCAGAAAACGAAACGCGAGGAATTTTCTTTTTTAGCTCTTTCTTTTCTTCCGAAGAAGTGATGATAGCCGCGACGCTTTGGATATTTCTTCTCTTTGTCATTTCTACATGCGATCTAGGAGGCCAATGGTGTATAGGGGTTCTCTGAGGAGGCCTTGTCAGTCATGTTAATATTTTCGGTCCTTACTTATCGCGCCTGCAAAGCAAGTCTGCGTTCGCGCTGTGGTGCTACTACAATCAGTTATCTCTTCTTGCGACGAAGAAGCAATTTACTAAGGAGAATGTGGATGAGCGGGAGGCCTTCGTGCTGCAAAGTTTGTGCTGCATGCGTTAAAAAAAAAATCAGACTTCTTCAATGAAACGTGCATTTTTCAGTGTTTACTTGCGCGGCATGTACAATTTTGTACGCAAATTCGAGCAGTGCTGTCCTGACTGTCAGTGACGCAAATCAACAGCACCACGTGCGAATGGCGCATTTCAGCCACTTCCATGCCCTGCCAAGCCATTTGATCGCGTGGGCGTTGACCTCTACGGCCCCCTTCTATTGACATCAGATGGTAATCGGTGGATTATAGTGGCAGTTGACCACCTTACACGCTACGCCGAAACAGCCACTTTGCCGAGCGCTACAGCTCAGGATGTCGCCTCTTTCATTTTACGTCGCTTTATCCTTCGACATGGTGCACCTCAAGAGCTCCTTAGTGACAGAGGCTGCGCTTTCCTCTCCGAGGTCGTCAGAACTCTGCTTTAGGAATGCCACATCATTCATCGGAAAACGGCAGCATACCACCCGCAGACTAACGGGCTAATGGAACGGTTTAACCGCACGTTGGGTGATATGCTCTCAATGTAGGTGGCATGTGATCATAGCAACTTGGGACCGTGTTCTCCCATACGTCACATTCGCATATAACACCACAGTACAAACCACCACAGGATTCTCACCTTTCTTTCTTCTTTATGAACGCGAGCCTTTCCATACAATCGACACCCTACTACCCAACCGTCCGGATGCTTCCGGGTGCCCACCTGTCTCCGATGCTGCTCGACAAGCTGAAGAGTGCCGCCAGCTCGCCCGTGCGTTCACCTCGAAAGAGCAGAAACGCCAGAAAGAACACCGTAGCACCGCCCTTTCAGATCCCAGCTATGCCCCAGGGTCTCTTGTGTGGCTCGCCATTCCACACCAAACACCGGGACTCTCCTCGAAACTTGTCCCCCGGTACGAGGGGCCTTACACAATTTTGAAGAAAACCTCTCCGGTTAATTTCCTAATCTAGCCAGTTTCCCGATCGGACGACGTGACATTGTTCATGTTTTCCGACTGAAACCATACCATGAACCTCTGCCCGAAACTTCTTAAGGGGGGACGCGGCTTTGGCATCGCGAAATTTGGCCAAAAAACCGATTTTCTGAAAATCTCATTTTCACATTCTGTGACCCCTTTTCTATCTAATTTCGAAGTTTCGTCCCTGAAAACAGCGTAGAAATGGCTTAAAAAATTTTTATCGAAGTTAGGGTGGCGATGAATTTCACGGAAATTGCGAAAAAACGGCGTTTTTCGAACCGCTATATCTCCGCAACCACGCAACCTAGCGCCGCCATCTTTGTCTTTATGGATAGCGCGATTCTTCCGTTTCAAGTTTGCCGCCTCGGCCGGCTGAACCAGGCAAGAGCAAGCCCACAGCAAGCCAAAGTGTAAAGGTATCACAACAGTTTCCGATTGGCGACGCGCATCACGTGACTGTACGACGGCTCCGCATTGGTCGCTTGTAGCAATCGGCGCTAAGTTCGTCTGCTCTACGCGCTGACTGGCCGCTTACGGCATTTGTTTTCAACTCGTCGCGGCGTGGTTTCGTGCGGTCTCTTGTTGCAATCGGCGCAAAGGTCGTCTGCTCTACGCGCTGACGGGCCGCTTACTACATTTGTTTTCAACTCGTCGCGGCGTGGTTTCGAGATCGCATCGCGCTGCGATAAGACTGGCGCTCGTGAAAGGAGAAAAACGTTGTTATCCAGTTTGGCGCATTGCAGTTTTGAGATCGGTTCCCGCATGCGATGATGGACCGGCGATCGTTCAAGAAGAAACGCAAGACTGCGCAGCGATTTGGTGCTCGTAAGCCAAAGCCGCCGATCATGAAAAAGAAATTCAGTCCGGCAACTTCTGCGAGCAGCGACGATGGCGTGCGGCTTGACGAGGACTCGCAGCCGAGCACAAGCACGCACAGAGCATCGTCCGCGAGTATCGATGAAACTGTTCATATGCCTGTGGAGCAGTGCTTTGTGCTGTCTGAGGAAACATCCGTTCGTCGTTCCGCGCAGGCTGCAGACATCGTGGATGCCCAGCCTAGCACTTCGCACGAGGATGTATTCATCGCGGATGCTTAGCCTAGCACTTCGCGCGAGGATGTAGACATCGCGGATGCTCAGCCAAGTACTTCGCGCGAGGATGCGAGGCCGTCTACCAGCACCACCAGTAGCACGATTCGGGCCCGATTAGAGCCTCGTTTCGTGTCAGCGGAGGCATCTCGCGAACGCGCCGCGACTGTTCAGGAGTCCCTAAGAGCAGTGTCCGCGACGGAGCGCAAGATGTCACTGATGGACCAAGGGGACGAGAGCGACATCTAAACGGAAGACGAAGATGAGTTTTTCCTCGTGCAACACGCGACCCTGAATGGTCTGTTTGGCAGTGCCCTGTGCCCGCAGTGCAAAGAGCCGGGACTCAAGATGAAGCACGGAACTAAGCACGGGTTAGCGATAAAGATAGTGCTCACCGGCACTGCTTGCGGCGCGGACGCGAAAAATGTGTGGTCGTCGCCGCGAATGGAAAACAGTAGGTCATTTGAAGTAAATATTCGAGCCATGCAAGCTATAAAAACTATTGGAAAAGGATCAGCTGCACTCAGTGATTTTTGGTCTGTGATGAATGTATCACATAGGGGAATTCACCACAAGACTTTTCAAAGGCATCTCAAGGGGGAATTTCGGCCTGCTGGCGCAGCAGCCGCGGCACGTGTCTTTTGCGACGCTGCTGCAGCCGTTCGCAATGTGTACAGCCAAATGGAGGGAACACCCACCAAGAATGTCACGGTGGTGTACGACGGGATGTGGATGACACCGCACTGCAAAGGACACTAAGGACTACAACCCTGGTGCCTATTAGGCATGTAAACCGTGACTCATGACTTTGAACCTCGTTTTCTCAATACTGTTTTTTTTTGGCATGTTGCTCGGCTCGTGGAGCAGATATCTTCGCAACTACTTGACAGATTTTGACTCTGTTTTTTTTGTAATGCTCCTTGAACTGTGCTTCAGGGGGCTGCATTCTTATTTTTAAAATTTAGCCTTTTAAAAATTTTTGGTAGGGTTTCTTGTTTGTAGTGCAAATATGCTCATTGAAGTATCAGTGGAGAAGACATGAACTACAAATTTTAGTGTTGCAAAAAAATTATTTTGAAAACGCAGCCCCCTACAGCATACATTCACCTCTGCACACAGTGTTTACCAACTTTCTATGTCATTTTTTTAACTCTCCAGCCGCTCCACGAGGTTCAGTAATGAAATTATTTGTTTCTCAGAAAGTTTTCATGATATCATCTTGAAATTTTTATGGAAGCATTATTAGGTCGTTTTTAGTCTCTGTGCCAATTTTCATCAAGATCTAACCAGAAACAAGAAAGTTCGTTCCGAAAGGCACGTCCCCCCGTCGCCAGGATGGCTCCTTTTTCAGCCGGGGCGATTGTGAAGAAGAAGATGTGCCTGCTGCGAGCAGCATCGCCAACGCCCGGCTCTCTCGGCTCGTGCTTCGGCTTGCTGCTGTGCTGATCTCTGCTGGACAGTTCTTCAAGCTGTCTTGCCATTGTCCTTATCGACTAATAAACCTTGTCACAAAACAAAGTCCCATGGTCCCCTGAAGTTCGTTATATTGAGATTATAGTGTACTAACCAGTGAAGTGGCTTACCTAGATAAGTTTTCGACGCTGAGAGCAGGCAAGCGGCGGTTATTCGTTCACTTGCCATGATTTATGGCTTCTGCTTGCTCAACAAAAAAGACGAGAAGAGACAGACACCATAGGCGCAGACTCGCAACTGATCTATTGAAAACAACCAAATGCGCTTTTATTTTCGAGACTAACAAACGTCCCCATAGGTGGTCCTGAACACCTGGGAAATAGAACTAAAGATATCTGTTCACACTACATCATGAAAATAAGACACTAACGTCAAATTTTGAGACTGGTGTCTCACAACTGTAGAATGATAGATACCTGCACGTGCCTTTAAAGAATTCGAATTGTTTATCAGACATTGTGATTGATGCGTGGCTGACTCACTTCTTTCCCATATTTTTAATATGGAACGCTTCACTTAACTCCCAGTTTATTTTCTGGCTGCATGTTGATAAAAAATGGTGTGCACCCACATGATGTGCAATGATCCACCAGATGTGTTCGTGCTGAGCTACGTAATGCGGAGTCGACATGTAATCAGAGTCCACACTTAATGTGTAGTCGTGCTCCCTCAACGTAGTTCAAGGTAATTGAGGGAGCACAACTCCACATTGCATAGTTCAGCACGAATACATCTGGTGAATCGTTCCAGGTCATGTGGGTGCACACCATTTTTTTCAGACACAAAGATTTTATCAACCAACAGGCCAAAAATAAACTGGGAACCAGTCGAGCGCACCCGCAGGGGGCTCTTATATTGCTTGAAAAAGGTTGTTTTGGTTATAAAGCGGATATTCACGACTCCCGCGACTTACATTATAAGCAGTCTATATAGTAAATACGGTACTTTGCTTAGTGTGTCCCATGTGACAAACCAGTTAGCTTTGATCTTTGACTCTCCCATTTGGGTATTTGCTGTCATCTGTGCAGAAGGCCAGGAATTGACGCTGCGGCTGCTGGAGAGTGATGTGATACAAGTGCTAGGCAATCTGTCACGCAACATGGCCGTGCTCTTTGTGACCACAAGTCGTGACTACGCAGCTGCCGTGCGCACCAAGCTAGGCATGAATCGCAAGCAGGGCGCATACTACGACCCCACAAGTACAGGTAAGTTGAGTTGCTCGGGGCACTCCGGGAAGTGGTTCTTTAAAAGGGCATTGCAACACTTTCCTGAGTAACCATTGAATGGCTTCATTAAAGGGACACTGAAGGCAAATATTAAGTCGACTTCAATTGTTAAAATAGCGCTCCAGAAACCTCGTAGTGCTAGTTTTGTGCCTAGGAAGGTGCTTACTCTGAAATCAAATAAGTTTTAATGGTACACATCGTGTTACTAGACTTCAAATCACCGGCACCTTGGAGTGGTCTTTTAAACGTCACCTTTACAATGCCCACCGTTGCCTTTACTACACGGCTGCCGACACCAGTATCAGCAGAATGAAAGTAGTGAGAGCCATAGTAGCAACAGCCGCTGAACAATTTTTTGCAATTTTAGAGGCCACGATTCTACTTTCTTGGTTAAGGGGAGACGCGGCTTTCGTATTGCGAAATATGGCCAAAAAATCGATTTTTTTTTTAAATCACATTTTCAATTTCTGCAGCCTTTTTTTTATCCAGTTTGAGTTTGAGTTCATTCAACCACGTGACAAGTACACGAAAATACACTGTATACGTGGTTTGGTGCGAAGGGAAAAAAAAGCTGCATTTCACAGCTTGACTGGCCCCTTCACCCAGAAGAAAAATCTAAACTTCAAATTTACAAAAATTACTGGCAGCGGAAAGCAACATTACAAAAAGAAACACGCATGTGGCCCAATACAGCAAATAATAGAGTGACAACTCTGAAATACATACAAAAATATTCATTACAAAGCAGTGCATGAAAGAATAAAAACTGAATAACCATTTCAGAAATCACCCAACATTCATTTACAACACAATCAGCACATCCGATTTAACATTTCAGTTTTAGACAATATATTCAGATTATCAGTTGTTAGTATCCATTTGTTCATCACACTTGGAAGGCGGTAACGTAGTGTTTCAAATGCATAGTTTGTGCGAGGACAAGGTACGTGCCAAGTCTTCGTACACCGAGTAACGCGACTGGCAGGATTTGGTTGCAAGGTAGCAAAGGTGCGTAAAAAGATACTTCCTCTGCGTATTTCTGATTTAAAAGCTAGCAAAAGCTGGTATTCGTAATGACAGATAATTCTTAAAATTTATATTTGCAAATATTGAAGCAGTGTGTGCATTGTAGGATACACCTTCAATGCACCGCAAGGCATTTTTTTGTAACACGACCTGGTTCTTTAGAGATGCTTTAGAGCCTGTAGACCAGACCAGATGACAATAGTGTAAATGTGAAGAAAAAAGAGCATTGTACACTAATATTTTTTGTTTCACAGGTAGTATGTTCTGGCATCGATGCAACACACCTAAAACTTAACAAAGTTTGTGACTAATGTGTTCGGCATGGTAATTTCATGCCATGTGTTCGTGAAAATGGACACCGAGAGTTTTAACTGTTTGACAAAGTTTAATTTCAACGTTATTAAGTATTAGTTTGTGAGACGTTTCAAATGACCTGGCTTTCGCACGGAACAGTACAGCCTTGCTTTTAGAGCAATTAATGTGCAGAGAATTCGCCACAGTCCAGGCATATATTTTATTTAGTATTTCATTAGCAGAAACAATGAGGTCATCAGCCATTTCTCCAGAAAAAAATGTACTAGTATCGTCCGCGTAGATTACATATTCTACAGAGCTGTCAATACGTACAATATCGTTGATAAAAATATTAAATAATAGGGGTCCCAAAATGCTACCTTGAGGTACACCATTCTTAACGTTCATGGATGATGATAGCTCTCAATTGATTGATACACATTGTTTCCTATTAGATAAATAGCTTCTTATTAAAGCTAAAACGGTACCGCGAAGTCCATCACAGTCAATTTTTTCTAGCATAGTATTATGGTTTATTTTATCGAAAGCTTTCGAGAAATCTAGAAATATTTTTAGGGTAAGTTTTTTGCTTCTCTATTTCTTAGAATCAATTCCTTTTTGTATAGTAAGGCACTTTCGGTTGAGAGGCCTGACTGAAAACCGAACTGTGACGGCGTAATAATGTTGTGTTTATAAAGAAATTAGATAACTGAATGAAAATAAGTTTTTCACACCCCTTAGAGAAAACTGGTAAAATCGAAATTGGTCTGTAGTTTCCTAAATTGCTTTTGTCCCCACCCTTATATATAACCGTTACTTTAGCGTTTTTCACTCTCTGAGGAAACAGCCCAGCGGTGAATACAAGATTATAAATATGTACAGAGCAGGCGCATATGAGATCTAAAATGTATATTATAGGTTCTAATTTTAAGGGGCGACGTGCCTTTGAGAATGAACTTTCTTGTTTCTGGTCGGATGATGACGAAAATTGCCACAGGCACTAAGAATGGCCTCACTGTGCATCCACAAAAATTTCGAGGCGATAGCACAAATACCTAATGAGAGACAAATTATTTTTCAATTGAACCTCGTGGAGGGGCTGGAGGATTTATAAAATGACAAAAATGCTTGGTAATTGCTGTATCCACAGCCAAATGTATGTTGAAGGGGGCTGCGTTCTCAAAAAAATATATTTGCAACACTAAAACTTGTAGTTAACGTTTCTTCCAGCGACATTGCAATGAGCACACTTGCACTACAAACAAGAAACTCTATAAAAAATTCCTTAAGGAGTAAAATGAAAAACTAAGATCGCAGCCCCCTGAAGCACAGTTCAAGGAGCATTACAAAATAAACGTAATCAAAATCCGTACAGTGGTTGCCCAGATATCTGCTCCACGAGCTGAGTATAATGCCAAAAAAGCAGTATTGAGAAAACTGTGTTTAAAGTTTCAACTTCTTTTTACGTCTCTAAAACACCTAAAGATTGTGATCTTAGGTTTGTTTTGTGATATTTGACTTTTCAGGTATCTGGTCTCTGACCAGTGTGCCTTGGTTGCCCTTCCCCCCCCCCCCCCCCCCCCCCCATAATTTCCTTTTCATATTTTACAAAGAACAAGTATGGATTTCAAACCAAGTTCTTTGTATGAAGGAGTGGTGTGATAGGTATCACAGAGAAGATTGTAATTGAATAAAACCATATACTAAAATTATTACACATACTTGCTGATGTTGTAATTAGCATAATTAAGTACTTGATTACAAATATTCACTGAACTTTTTTTTATTTGGAGAGAGGTTTATTGCATCAGAAAAATGGATCACACCATGACGGCCTATGCCTTCTTTCTAAATAACAAAGTTATGGGCGGAAGACTGGTGGCACGGGAATTTCTAGCAGTATAATTAATGACACGAAACGGGCATATAAAATTCATGCCCCTGATTCACACATGCCTTTTCGCCGCTCTTGCCGTGAAACGCATCATCATACAGCCAGTTGCGGAAACTCTAATCTACAGCAATTCATTAACCTCGGAACATTCATAGACGTTCGTGGCGATACCAAGCACGGCTCCAAGCACGTCTGAATCGCATCACAAAAGCTTACTGGCAGCACTCCATATGACCGTGGGGTGCGCGGCCGCGTGGACAGTGCAGCCGGCGCGTAATGCACTTGCCGGCGAGGTTCGATGACGATGCGCAAAATGTGTAACTACGAGGAAAAAAAAATCGGCACGCACTGCACTTGACATCGCATTTTCGAATGATGCCGCGCGGAACTGCTAGCCGCTGTTTTCCGAGCGATCCTTGGCAGTGAAGGGGGGGGGGGGGGGGCGTGACGAGCTTGACTGTGTTGTCCGCTGCCGATGTGTAAAATGCCCGTACGAGATTCAGAGGAGCTGGCGAGTGGCGAGTGATGTGGTACATTCTTTGCGAAGAAGCACATCACCAAGAGTGCGCTTGCGCGTCGTTCCTGTTCGCTGTCAGCGGAGTTAGGCCTAAAGCCGACTCCGATGACGCGCTGCTCTCGTAGACCGCCGTGCGCCCGCTCGTAGTAATCTGATCGAGCATCCGGTGCGGCCACTCATAGTAATCGGGTCGTGCCGCCGCTTACAGCTTCGTTGCTTGCGAAGAAGCACGTCGCCACGAATGCGCTAGCACGTCGTTCCTGCCCGCAGTTTCGCTGTCGGCGGAGTTAGGGCTAAAGACGACTCCGATGACGCGCGGCGCTCGTGGACTGCGCTCCCGCTCGTAGTAAGCTGATCGCGCATCCGCTTACTGCTCGTAACTAAAGCGTAGTTATATCTTAAGGGATTATCAAGCTGTGAACACGTCACGAAGTAGCGATTTTCGAGAGCCATGTCCTCGCGACGCACAAGCAGCAGACGACGATCTCCCGGAGCGAGCATTGGGCCAATGGCGAGGCGAGCTGAGGCAACATGGCGGCCACGGCCAATCAAGGGCTTCAAAACGACCTTCAAACATTTGCTTTTTGCTCGCTTGTTGTTAAAGGGAGGAGCCAGCTGAGGCGGGAAAGTTAAACACGGAGAAATGCTCTTTACGATGAGCCCAAGAAGCCGGCTCCCGGCCCAAGCATCGCGAAGCTATAATTTTTTAAAAATCGCCGCTTTCTCGCCATTTCCAGAAAAAGTTTTGCTACCTAGGTGGGTGAAACGAATTTTTTGAAGCACTTCTGCGCGGTTTTCAGTGTAGATATTCTGGAACCAGATAGAAAAAGGGTTCCAGAAACTGAAAACTTGAGTTTCAAAAAATCGATTTTTTTGCCATTTTTCGCGATCCCAAAGCCGCGTCCCCCCTTAAGCCATCTATGTTCTCGCTTTTACTCAATTTGAAATGCTGGAAAATGCTGGTGATCTCTTGCGCATCTGTAGGATTAGCAAACACAGAATTATTTAAAGCAGGAGGCAAATAACCTGATGAATCACAATTATGACTACTGTCAACTAGTGAGGTAAAGTACTCGTTAAATTTGTTTGCCAGTACTGCACCCTTACATGTTTTATTTTTGATCACCAGCTCACTAATATCATTAGACACTTGTTTGTAGATATAATAGCATTAAGTTTGTTCCATAATTGCTTAGAATCGGTGACACCGTCAAACATCTTGAAGTGATAATCGCGTTTAGCTTGTTT